TACATCAGTGTGTAATTTGTATATCTGATGGATTTGTTACCAGATTTCTTATGACCATAAAGACACTTTCTTGATATGATACTTCATATGGCTTATATGGTAACTATTGATTTATTTCAATTCTGATTGGTTCAATTTGCAGATATTGGATGCGTTAAATAAAGGAGAGATCCCATCAACAGGGTCACTAGTTGAGGTTTTCAATAAAGGTATTGTTGAGAGATGTGTGAAGCTGTACAATGAGAGGATGGTAAGATTGCGGCTACCTATGGCTGAAGGATCTCTTCAAAGTGCCCATGATTCGGCACATGATGAAGCTATTAAAGCATTTGATGCGCAGCATTTTGGCAGACAGCATGCGAAAAAATCTGTAGATCAGTTGGATGAACAAATGCAGGAGGTATGAATCCGTATCCTCATCTGCATTTCTGTTAAGTGACTTTACAATGACTAACTTTAAGTGGATGAAACGAAGGAATGATTTTGAACTTTGTGTCGGCAGATTTTGGTAGTCTGTTTTAATATAAGTTTTCCAGATTTTCACTATCTTATACATTCTTTGCCCTGGAAATATTATCCAGGTATTTAAGAATTTTGTTCTGGCAAATGAATATCAATCGTCAAAGCTCTGTGAGGCGCTATATACAAAGTGTGAAGATGACATGGACCACTTACAGGCTCTCCGACTCCCTTCCATGGCTAAATTTAATGCAGGTTTCGTGTACTGCAACCAAACTTTTGAACAGCAATGTGTTGGTCCTTCGAAACAAAATTATGAGCAAAGGTTAACTAAGGTAATATATACATGTCTACGTTCTGCAAGAAGTATTGAATTCAATTTGACCTTGGGACTCAGAAATCGGCAGTCCATACTCTGGTAGCTTATTGGATTTCTATGTAGGGCTGCAATGCTGAGAATAGATCTTATGTTTTAATTTCAACACTAGTAGAATACCAACTCCTGCATTCCCACCGAAATTAGATTTGGAGGAATTGTAATTTATATTAAACGGTTATGATGCTTGTGTGCAGATGATGGGAAAGTCACGGTCTTTGTTCATCAAAGAATACAATAACCGATTGTTCAACTGGCTGGTTGCGTTCTCTCTTGTAATGGTAGTTATTGGCCGGTTCATTATAAAATTCATTTTATTAGAAATGGCGGCATGGATACTTTTCATATTCTTGGAGACATACACAAGGATGTTCTGGACAGCAGAATCTCTATATTACAATCCAGTCTGGCATTTCATCGTTGGGACCTGGGAAACTGTTGTGTATAGTCCCATTCTCGACTTGGACAGGTAACAAGAAGCCCTGACCAAACTTCTCTCAACCTCTGTGCTTATCTAATTTGTTTGTATTTTTTTTTTGGTGAATAGATGGGCAATTCCTATAGTCTGCATAATTGCAGTTTGTGTACTTTATTGGCGGTGTTATGGAAAGAGGAAACACGGTGCTAATTGGCTTCTTCCGATGTACAACAATCCGAAGAATGGTCGGAACAGGGAACGGTCAGAGTAAACACATTCCTCGTTCCCCTTATAACTTATAGCATCTTATCGGGCATGCTCGTTGTTTTTATCATCCGAAGCTCTCTGCCCGTTACTACCAATTTTTTGGATGCGGAAGAATTTGAGTAAGAAGTAAAGAAGAATGGAGAGGATGATTGATCCAAGTTGGTTTGATTGATGCCTGTATTCACTGCACTCTACCATTTACGTAGAATTACCTTTGTAATGTTTTAACTTTATAAACATAAATATATATATTGTTGGATCTGTTTTATTACTCTCAGTCACGGCTAATTTAAGCTAAAACGTGTAGTTTTTTAATTTGTTTTTAACTGATTTATTCAATGTCATTTGTTCATGTTGGTATGTTATGATAACAGAAGTATAAAGAGACTACGATTAAGCACTTTTGTTGTTTCTGGCTTTCTGCTGCTTTATATTATTTTTAATGGTTAAATGAGAGAATACTAACTAGTACACAACTCACTACAAAGCTATAAGATAATTTGGATAGGAAGAAACATTTTATTACTTTTTGTCAACAAACGGGTTTGAATCCGGTTGATAACACAATACAACACTAGTACAAACCAACTAGGTTACATGTTCGGGTCAAATATGTTTTTTTGTCTCAACAATCTTTAGTTTTTTTTTCTCCTTTTTGTGGAATCTTAGAACATGACTGAGACACCAAGAGCAGTTGATAAATCAGACAAAAACGCAGGAAGATCTGAGACTGATGCAGCGGTCACAAGCTTTCCGTCAGTCGCACATCCCTTTGACTCAACAGCTTCACCTCCAGCCACCTTCACCATCACCTCCATCCCCTTGCCACTCGCGCATCGCTTCCCCTAGAATTTCATAAAGAGAAACATCAAATGACNATGAAAAACACTTAGACACAAGGCTTGATATAGACTTTGTATCCTCAATCTACCAAAACCAGCATCACATTTTCTGTACTCAATGCGAAGAAACACGATTCACTAAAAGATTACTATCCCATTCAGATACAAGTTTTTTTCTGCCTTGTGGCTCTGTATATCAGCTCAATCTAGAGTCATGCATTATTACTTCCTCCACTCCATTTCAGTTTTGATTTCTCACAACCCCAGAAACCAGAGCTGATCCTTATTACCAACCTAAAAAGAAAGACTAAAAGAAGCAATGCTTTACCTTAAGAACACCAGTGGCTGCAAGTAGCAATTTACCCTGTCCAATAGCTGCAAAAACCTTATCTTTCTCTGCAAACTTCTTCACCAAAGCAACAGCCTTTTCATTCATTACCAATAGCTCAGGTGATCTCCCTCCCGGAACAACCACACAGTCATAATCATCCACACATATATCGTCCCACGTCGCAGTCACAAAGAAGTTATGCCCTCGTTTCTCCGCAGGAAGCTGCCTTCCTTCTTCAAGATCATAAACCGCAGTTGCACACATCTCTCCCTCCTTTTTGTTCGGTGTCACTGCATCCACTTTACATCCTAAAGCTTGAAGTGCTCTAAATGGTACATTGATTCCATAGTCTTCTACATAATCCTTACAAAAACCAAACACAACCAAAACATGATTCAAACACACAAAATGTATCAATCTCATAAACTGAAACTAAGGAACTGAAACTCACCCCAATGAGGAAAAGCACAGAAATTTGATTCTTCTTCAAGCTCGAGATCTTTGCGCCAAGTGAGTCGAGTAAAACCCTAATCGCGTGACCAAGCGTAGGCCATCCAACCATACTCACGAAATTCCCGTCCTTAACGCAATCGGTGATTTCGAACATACTCTGGATCCCAGGCTGTTGCCACCACTCACCACCGGAGAGTTCGATCAGAGTCTTCATGCTTTCAAACGCAGTACACTTCACACCTCCGGCGAGTACTCCGGCAGCTATAAGCAATACCTGGCTGTGACAGCTGGTGAAGATGAGCTTCTTCGATTCGGCGAATCGAGCCACGAGATCGACGCATTTCTCATCGGCGCTGAGAATCTCCGTGAAACGACCACCGGGGATGATGATGACGTCGTAATCCTCCGGAATGACGTCATCGAAATTAGCGTTTAGAGTCAACTGGTCAACGACCAGCTCTGTGTATAGCTTTTTAAACGCAAATCAAAATTGGATTCAAATCACAAATAAAAATTACAAAAATTGTTAAAAAGTAAAGAAGATAAGTGGGAAAATGGAACCTCGAGGCCCGAGAAATCGTGGGCCGCCATAACGCAGCGATCGCCGGCGATGCGGTTGGGTGAAACGCAGTGAACGCTAACGCCAAACGATTGGAGGATATAGAGAGGAACCATTGTCTCGTAGGCTTCCATGTAGTCGCCGCATAACAGTAACGCTGATTTCTTAACCGCTGATCCCATTGTTGAAAAAAGTATATATGTATTGAACAAATCATTACTATAAGGATCATTTTGTATTTATACTCACAGTTTTCTTTGCTTCTAGGAGACA